GATCACAGAATAACCAGATCCTGTAGAGGATGTTCATCTCTATTGTCTTTCTCGCTCTGTCTTTCTCTCTCTCTCTCCTTCCCTTTTATGTGTGCACTCTGTCATGAGTAAAGAAAATATTGTATTAAAAAATAAGTCATAGTAATAGGACATAGGGTGGATTATTAGTGTCCCTGGACAAGTAATGGAGTGAACATAGCTGCATGTAGCTGGAAGGTGCTCTCTGTCACGTGGTTGCCGAAGGTGAGGAGGGATGGAGCAGGGGGCAGGATAAATTTAGAGGGCTGAGAAAGACTTGCATTTGTTCCTAAAATAACAAATCTAGTTAAAGTATTCCAGTATGAGGGACCAGCAGTTGGCGTAATGGCTATGTTGCTGAACGCTCATATAGTTGACTGTGGTTTGAATCCCAGACCCAGTGGCTTAAACACACCGGGTGCATGTGCTTGCATGCATGCCCAAGATCCCAAGAGGAGAATGGAGGAGAAGGGATTACAGTGTAGCCATCCCCCCTGGGGGGAGGGGGTGATTCCTCACTTTCTGTCTCTCTCTCTCTCTCTCTTTCTGGTGAGTGCACACACCCTATAGCACAAAGCTTTCAAAAAAAAAACAAACAAAAAAAGTATTCCAGTGTGAGAGAATAAAATTAAAGTGGGTGCTTGTCATTCAGTTATAAAGGGCTGTCCATAGGACTTGATAAATATACTGTTTGTCTCAGGTAGCTCAGGATATCATAATGAAATAGGTGGGTGGCTTAAACTAGAGAAATTATTTTTTTCAGTTCTTGTGGCTAGAAATTCAAGATCAAGGTGTTAAATCATTGATTTATGGTGAGGGCTCATTGTGGTTTGTACACTGCCACCTTCTTTCTGTGTTTCCACATTGCAGGAAGAAAGATAGTGAGGCAGAAACAAAGAGATACAGGGAGAGACAGAGATAGAGAACTCACTGATGTCTTTTCTTACAATCACATCAAGAGTACTCCTATTTCATGACCTCATCTATCCTAATTATATCCCCAAACATTTATCTGAAAATATCATCTCATTCCTATTGAGGGTTAGGGCTTCAACATATGAATTTTTGTAGAGGAAGGGGGCATTCAGTCAGTAGCAACTGTCAAATGTGATCACTTCACAGTCCCCTTAAGAGTCATGTATGAGGGCCAGCAGGTTGCCTGGTGGTTAGGGTGCTGGGCTCCCACATGGCCACTGACAATTCAAGTCCTAGACCTGGTAGCTTGAAAATCATGCTGAGTGTATCTGCATGCATACCCAAAATCTCAGGAGGAGAATGGAGGAGAAGGAATTGAGGCATGGCTATCCACCCTGGGGAGTGATTTCTCACTTTCGCTCTCACCCTCTCTCTGTCTGTCTGGTGAGTGCACTTGCCTTATGGCAAAAACAAGAACAAAACAACAAAGAAAGTGTCATCTATGAACTTCAAAAAAATTTATGGAAAATAAAATTGAAGTACAAGTTTACTTTGGTACAAAAAAATTTGAAATCCACACATAATATTTTTTAATATGTATTTTCTATGAATGTTTTCAAGACCTCTTAATTTTTTTCTGCTGCCAGACAGCATCTACAATAAGTCTGACACTGAAATTGCCCTTATAATGTAAATGGGAATGAGAGTTGTTCTCCTTTAATGGTGAGCATATCATGTTCTGATATAGAGATTTCTTTTTTTCCCCAAGGACTTTATAGATACAGAGTCTCTCTTTTTTTTTTTTTTTTTCAGTTTCTTTTGACAAAATGAAGTGTCACATTTTGTTAGTTCACATTTTCGGTGTAACCCAAGCATTGATTTGCCCCTTCCAAAGGCCACCTTTTAATCTGTGTGGGAAAAAGGGATGTTGTCTCCAGTACTGTTCATCTATCTCTTCCTTTGTCTCTGAATGCCATGCTGCTCCCAAATCCGCCAATGACCCCCCTCAGTACTTCAGAACCTTGGATTATAGTCTCACTCAGTGCCATGCTGCCACTAGGCATTAAGCTCAATACATAATTGAGTTATTGTTCTGTTATTTCTCTGTATAGTCTATGTTGAAGTATCAGACTTTGGTGAAGGATTTTTTTTTTAAATGGAAGTGCAGGCTAGTCATTGGCATGGTAGTTAAGGCAGCTGGATCCCACATGGCCCACTGTGCAGTTAGTGTCCTGGACCCAGAAGCTTGAAAAACACTCCGGATGCATGTGCGATGCAGGTGGAATGGCCACTCTACAATTCCTTCCCCTCCATTCTCTTCTCAGGATTTTGGGCACAAAGACACACACACACACACACACACACACCTGGCATATTTTTCAAGCCACCATGTCTGGGACTTGATCCACAGAGTCAGCCATGTGGGATACAGCACTTTAAACACTACACCACCTGCTAGTCTGTGAATTTAAGATGGAGAAAAATTAAATGATCATAAATATGATTGTTCCCATATAAGAAAGTCATTCATCAGGGCTGGCAGGTGGCATGGTGGCTAAGGGCACTGGACTCCCACATGGCCAAGTGTGGTTCGAGTCCCAAACCTGGTGGCTTGCTTTCTCACTTTCTTTGCCTCTCTCTCTGTCTCTCTCTTCTCTCTCTCACTCTGTCCCTCTGTGGTCAAGTTAAAATGAATAAATTAAGTCAAATAAAATAATTCTTAAAAAAAAAAAGAAGTCATTCATCTTCTCATGGGCACATCCTGATTCCTACCTTCAGATTAACCCTATATTCATAGATCACCTCATTATTTACCCTCTTCTTCCCTGAAGATGATCCCAACCTCACACCATTCAATTCTAAGAACTCAATAGTCAGTGGCAACTATTTTCCCAAAACCTGAGTAACTTATTCCATAGTGATTCCTAGGACTTAGGGAGTAGGAGAATAAGCTTCAGAAGAAGAGTTTGGGTTTAACTCTGTTCTTCTAAGTCTTGACCCTTTCAAACTCTTCCAATATTAAGTGGCTCTTGTTCATTGATCTATAGTTTTTCTCTATGTGTTCAGATTTTTGTATATAATCTGACAAGTCATTTAAGTCATATAGAAATTAATATAGCCCATTGATTTTAAAACCAATACAATTTATAAATGTTGAGTGGTACAGGGAGGTGCTTTAGAGTGATTTGGATCCTAATCTACTGCATAGTTTTCACCCTGTTATGTCTCTAGGCTGCTCACTTTGGGCACTAAAAGACTTCATGGCTACAGCCCCATGGAAAAAGACATGTTTTTTTTTTTTTTTTCCTAATACACATTAAAGTCTAGATACACTAAAAACCTTCCCTTCAAAAACCTGTTTGATTGTAGTGCATAAAATCATTACCATGCGCACCATGGAGCAGAATATTTGAAATCAGAAATGACCTAGGAAGGTGAGCTTACAGCTACAACTAGAATATGTGATCAGGTCTTCTCCGGTCGTAGACATGAATGATGCACAGAACAGCTGCCTAACTAAGCCTTAAGTACTTTCCTCTCCTTCAGAAAGTTTCAGAAAAGCTTCTGTGCCCTAAGTTACTCCAGTTGAACAAAACAAAGAAGCATGCGGGTGCTTCCTGATTTATGCTTTGAAAGCCTTCTGTATAGGCTGTAAATTCTAGAGAAGCCTGATTTCCTCATAGTTTTACACCTAGAAGCTACCCTGTCAAGTTATGTTGTATGCTACCATCTACTGTAAGCAACTATATTCTGTCATGTTGCATAAAAATGGTAATCATTGTAATCATATATGAACACAATGAAATAATGAGATAATTCTAGGATTCTGGTCCCTTCCTTGAAAGCTAAACAACTGACCTCAGCCACAGGTATTTGCTAGCTAGTTCCATCCAACTGTATGGGGTCAAAAGTTGATGGTCTCTCCTAGGAGGGGCTGCCGGCAGGTGGTGGGTTGCATTGGTACCCGTATCTGTTGTGAGATTCCAGAAGTTCCTTTACAGCGTACACATCATTCCCTGTGTTATTCTCTTTTAAAACCCTTGAGAAAGGTCTGGTGTGTTCATGAAACATACCTAATAAATTCATTCCAAGACAGCATTTGGGATATCATGAGAGATCTTAGAAACAAAAACACAAACACACCATAAGCAACAATACCTGGAGATTTGAAGATTAACTTGTCTAGCTTCATAAGATTTTCACATCAATTTCCCCTGAAGTATCAGACCCATCTGTATAGAAGCTATTTATCTGAACCAAGACAGAGATTAAATCTAGCAGTCTGGGGAATTTTTATCCTAAATACAAGCAAGATGTGATCATGTGAAATAGCCACATCTGTAAAAAGACTCAATCTTTATGGTATTTTGAGACTAGCTGTGCTAACAGACGTTCTTACTATGTCTCCGTTTAAGTAACTGGCGTTTGAGTCTTACAGGTTGATTTCTTTTTCTTTCTTTCCTTCTTTCTGTCTTTCGTTCTTCTTTCTTTCTTTTTTAAATAGGGTGTGTGCATTCACAAGAGAGAGAAAGAGAGCAAGAAAGTGAGAAATCGCTCCCCACAGGGGTTGGCCATGCCACCACAACCCCTCTCCTCCAGTCTCCACTTTAGGATTTGGGGGAGACAAGCACATCATGCAGCAAGGGTTGATTTTCTAGCCACTGAGTCCAGGACTTGAAACAAACCGCTGGCCATGTGGAATTCAGCACCTTCAACTCCATGCCACCTGCTGGCACCTCGTGGGTTAATTTTTAAGAACTCAGTAATTGCTTGTATTCAACATGCTTTATCTGAAGAATTCTAAGGAAGGAATGAATATTCCTGGCTTTAATGCTCTTATCAGTGTTAGACTATTAACGTTAGTTTGAAGAATTACTACCATTCTGTCGTTTGTTTAATAATTAATGGGGAATATTGGACGCTTTGGTGGATTGTTAGTTTAACCTCAAGCTGGAAATGAAGGGACCATCCTTCTGGCCCAGAGTTTACAGTAGTAAACCAAGTGCAAATCAGTTTTGAAAATTTTCCTCTTATATTCACCTATTTTACTATTTCTCTTCTTTTAGTGTCCACCAAACCAAGACCTCACAGTGATGAATATTCGAAGAAGATTCCCCCTCCAAAACCGAAACGGAACCCCAACACCCAGCTTAGCACATCTTTCGATGAAACGTACATCAAAAAGCACGGGCCCAGGAGGACATCGCTGACGCGGGACTCCTCCCTGTCTCAGGTCAGCAGCCCCGCGGGGGACCCCGAGGAAGAGGAGCCCGTGTACATTGAGATGGTGGGGAACATTCTCCGAGACTTCCGGAAGGAGGACGACGACCAGAGCGAGGCCGTCTACGAGGAAATGAAATACCCCATTTTCGACGACTTAGGCCAAGATCCCAAATGCGACTTCGACCTGCACAGTTGTTCTTCGCAGTGTGCTACTCCCACGGTGCCTGACTTGGACTTCGCCAAGTCCTCAGTGCCATGTCCTCCTAAGGGGTTGCTTTGTGACATCCCCCCGCCCTTTCCCAACCTGCTTTCTCACCGGCCCCCGCTGCTGGTGTTCCCCCCAGCCCCGGTGCACTGCTCCCCCAATTCCGACGAGTCTCCGCTGACCCCACTGGAGGTCACGAAGCTTCCTGTGTTGGAAAACGTGTCTTACATGAAACAGCCGGCTGGACCGTCCCCGTCCTCACTGCCATCCCACACCCCCGGCCACTCCAAACTGGAGAAAGACCAGGCCGGGGCCCTCGGACCTGCTCCTGCTGCTTCTGTGCTCTCCTCGTCCCCTCCGCCCCCTTCCACTTTGTACCGAACCCAGTCTCCCCATGGCTACCCCAAAAGTCATTCCACCTCCCCGTCGCCCGTGAGCATGGGGAGGTCCCTGACACCGCTCAGCCTCAAAAGGCCTCCCCCCTACGACGCTGTGCATTCAGGCAGCCTCTCAAGGAGCTCTCCATCAGTGCCTCATTCGACCCCCAGGCCAGTGTCCCAGGATGGGGCCAAGATGGTCAACGCTGCGGTGAACACCTACGGGGCTCCGAGCTGCTCCCGATCCAGGACCCCCACGAGTCCTTTGGAGGAACTCACCAGCCTCTTTACCTCGGGCCGGAGCCTGCTGAGGAAGTCGTCCAGCGGCCGGCGCTCCAAAGAGCCGGCGGAGAGTAAGTGTGCGATGCTGTGGGAGCCACGCGGCGCCCCTGGTGACGAGGGACCCCGCATCCCATTGCCTACAGATACAGCAGAGTCCTTCCTGTCCAAATCTCAAAATGCACAATGCGGGTTTTTTTTTTTTTCCTCCACTTTTGCCCAACAAAATAAAACAGTGTCTTCTGAATTGAATTCAGTGCGCACTGAATTAAAAATGGTCACCTGCACAATATGTCTTATAAAAAAGAAGAGTGGTGAAAAGGAAAGTGTCAAACTGGAATTCTTACAGTGGACCTGCAAAGTTGAATCGTAAACAAAGACCACTCCAGAATTTTTAAGTCCATGTCTTCATGTGTTAGAAAAATTAAACATTCAAACATGGAATTGGTAAATGTTAAAACATATCTTGAGGGATCAGCGGGTGGTGTGGTGAGTAAAGTGCAGGACTCCCACATGAGCCACCAGGAATGTACCTCCAGACCTGGGGGCTCACTTTCTCACTTTCCCCCTCTCTCTCTGTCTTGCTATGGTGAGCACATATGCTCTATAGAAAATTAAAAATAATAATTAAAAAATTAAGTAAATAATTATTTTTAAAAGTATCTATATCTTACATTAAGACTCCGAGTAAATCTGTATTAGAATAACTTTGAAGTAAAGAATGCTCTTTGGGGACCAGCAGTTAGCATAATGACTATGTCACTGGACTCCTATGTAGTTGACTGCGGTTCGAGTCCCGGACCCCGCAGCTTAAACTCACGCCAGGCGCGTGCGTGTACATGTTCAAGATAACGAGAGGAGAATAGAGGTGAAGGGATTGTGGCATAGCCATCCCCCCTGGGGGATGATTTCTCACTTTCTGTCTCTCTGTCTCTCTCTGTCTTTCTGGTGAGATCACGCACCCTATAACAAAAACCTCTCCAAAAAAAAAAAAAAAAAAACTCTATTTGGATAGAACATAGTATCTTCTTTTCTTTTTTT